CACGCTAAACCATTCAAAGGAGATCAATCCACATTCTTGCAGAAATATTCGCCATACCTTCAGCTCTATTTAATACTACATGATCTCTTTTATGTTTTATTATTTCTAACGATTCACGAATATTATTACCTATTATACTTTTTGGTTGAGCTAATATTACAGTTTTTTCCCCACAATATTGTGTGTTGTTTCCTTTACATGTTCTGCTATGGATGAATTTTCAGTTTTTTTTTTATTTCTTACATATCCCTTATGCTCATTTAAGCGGTATTTTAAATTACGTTTTGTCTGACCAATGTAAATACTTCCACATTCTATTTTATATATTCCAGTTTTTACAGTTAAATGTATTTCGTCTTTCGTAATACCCAAGATTTGATTCATCTTATTTATCGGTTTAAATATAGGGTAGAATATCTGTTGTTTTTTGAACACTTTAAATAAACTAGTAGTTAAACCTGGAGCATATGGTAAGATTAAGCCATTCTTTCTAATTTTTTCATAACTAGGTTTTAAAGTACTAACTTGATCAATTATTATAGTATTAGTGAATTTCTTAATTGCCCTATCTATAAGATCTGGGTTAAAACCTCTTTCGATTGCAATATATCTAATTAATAACAATTAGTTTTTTAAATCATTTTGGTTAGTACATATCTTCAAAGCTCTGTTAACATAAGTATAAAACGCAGACATTTTTTGTGACTTAGTATGACATGATTCTTGGTGTGGGGACATAAGAACAGAAAAAGGTTTCCGGTAAACTGATGTTACTAAATTACCTTGTACGTTCTTTTTCACCAATACATCTAGAAAAGGCAAACTATTATTTTTCTCAATTTCAAACGAAAATTGTATGGATGGTTCAATGCTGTTTTTAATTCTGTACCAGTTTAACGTTAAATATTATTTATTATTTTAAGTTATGACAGGTTTTGTTGCTAACTCTGTATGAGTTGCACGTTGTGTATGTAGTTTAATTGTTGTACTAGGTTTTTGTAATATTGTTGACGTCACCGTACTCAAAGCTTCTAAGTCTTTCTCATTATCTTTAATATTGTTGTTACTAGGGGTTAGATATTTCTATATTTTACTGTCACGTGTTATAAATACATGCTGATAGAGAGAGGAAGAAGTAAGTTGGAGAAAGTGAAGTTAGACTGCGTGATTGTCAGTTTAGTCATAACAGGCAATTTAGAAAGTGAAAGTGCCACAACTTATATTGTAACAACAGAGATAAAGAAAAATAATTTGTCTTGTCAAAGGGTGTTCTAAAGTAATTGAATCAGCCTGTGTGGACTTTGGTGAAACGGAAAGAATTATTTAAAATTCTAGATACAACTGTGGTAACCAATAGTTATAGTGGTGATTTTGAAGCGAGTTTCACAGCTTGTATTGCAAAAACAGATATAGATAATTCATCTTGTCAATTGGGTTCTAAAGTAATTGAACCAGCTTGTGTGGACTTTTGACGAAAAAGTGAATTATTTAAAGCTCTAGATTCAACTGTGGAAAACAATAGTGTAACGAATTTTTGTACATACGTTTGACTTGTTTTGAATATATATTATTTTAAAACAACTGGATTGTGTGCTGTCCGTTTATTGTTGAAATTTATCACCAACAAGTCACAGACACCTACTGTAAAGAATTCGGTCCCCATAAATCTTGATATAATGTGATTATGTTACAGACTAACAGGTAGTGAGTCACAAGCTCAAAGCATCAGTAAAACACTAATGCAAGAGTTTTATTCAGATCATTTCATTGAGTTTGAAGACAAATCAGTCTCATAATGTACTATTACCCATTCTCAAAGTCAAGTGAGAGGTAATCATAGATCATCAATATCCAAATTTATGGACTTCTGGGTGTTTGAAAGATTGTTTCCAGCTGCTGGGTATCTAACCACTACATTTCCTCCAACATCTCATGGTGTTTATAAAGTTGTTTCTGTGGCATAGACATTCTTCTGCACTAGGTCAATCAGAAATAGTATTTGTGCTGAAAAATGTATCATTTTTTATTTACTTTCTGACAAACACAAAACAGGAGTAGGCAGAACTGTAATTAAAAAAAACATGTATATATCTGTGAACTCAAAAGTTGAACAAAATAAAGTGAAATAGGCAGCAACTGCCTTGTTCAGGGTGAGTCTTATAGAAAACGTGTTGGGGAACTGAAGTAAAAAAAGTAGTTCAAGTAAAAAGGACAACTCTTGTTCATCATGAATACTCTGCCTAAATCATCTATAAAACTATAATTGAATAATTGCTAAGTTCGAATGCAAAGTTGCAAATTATCTTTTTCAACATAAAATGTCATTTGTTTTTGCTAAACTTAAAAGATAATAGTTATAAAACTGTAGAATTTTAGTGAATGTAAGACACACTGAAAATTAAATGACATTCTTGAAACATAAAAAATATATGTTTTGATTCCATGAAAAGCCCCCCAGTGGCACAGCGATATGTCTGCGGACTTACAATGCTAGAATCCGGGTTTCGATACCCGTGTTGGGCAGAGCACAGATAGCCCTTTTTGTAGCTTTGTGCTTAACTATAAACAAACCATTCCATGAAAAATACTTTTTCTTCCTGACATCACCTAAACTGCTTTTTTTTGAAGAAGCACCAACATGTGCTACAAGCTTACAGTTGAAATATGAAGTTTAAGAACTGATTTAACAACAAAATCAATGTTAAACAATAAAGAGGACTTGTTTATTTGTTGAATTTTACTCAAACCTACTGGAGGAATATCTGCATTAGCTGTCAAGTGATAAAGGCGGCTAAAAAGGACTTGGATTATGAACTGTTAAGTAGAATATGTCGCAAAAGTAACGAGTAGTAAAGTTCATAAGATAGGTTAAAAATGCTGATTAGACAAGTATTTGGAATTGAATAAACAATTTTGTTAACAAACAATGTTATTAACATAATGAACTAATATGTAATGATCCAATATTGTTTTTCATTTTGACACAAATAATCTACAGTCATAATATTAAATCCAGATGAAGACAATATTTATTGTATCAGCCCCATCCATGGTATCAACTAAGTGTAGGATCTAATTATTTGGTGAAGAGGGTTTTTGTAAATTTTTTGTCAATAAAATACTTTTATTTTCACGACTTTTGTGTTTAGTACGTTTAGTGTAATATAATTTAAGTTTAAATGCAATTGCACTAATATAAGGGTTATCTTACTGGATAAATATCGACTGTCATTCTTGTTTAGTGTTGTTTGGCATGTGTGTTTGCTTTAAGCTGTTGGGAACATTCGTTGAAAACTAGATTACCGGCAGTCTGTAATTTTACAATCATGAATATTGATAAGCTTTTTAATATGATATATAAATTTTAAATTATATTTATAATTTGTGATAATATAATTTTTTTTAAAATTATCATCAGTGTTATTATCATTATTGCCCACCAGTGGCACAGCAGTATGTTTGTAGACTTACAATGCTAGAAAGCGGGTTTCCATACCCATGGTGATCAGAGCCCATTGAATAGCTTTGTGTTTAACTACAAACAAACAAACCATATTCAAAATAAAAACAAGCAACAACAAAACATTTATTTAAACAAAATTAGTTATATGAGTAACAGTGTGATTCATTTTGTGTGTTGTAATGCCATATGATTACATTTGAAGATAGTTATTGAAAATTAAATTTAGACATTTTCAGTGTCTTTTACATATACATGTTATCTTTCAGTCTGCTAACATTACAACTGATTTAACCTCATTTGACTTTTATAAATGTCTGGGTTAGCTTATATAGGTTTCATAGAAATTTATTTTGAGTACAATATCAAAAGCTGCTAGTTTTATTTCTTGATTCTTTACAGTTCCCCTGCACAAAATTCAAAGTATTTTGATTAAATTTAGTTGTTTGTTCTTTGAACATAATTGGAGAATGCCTTCCTCATAACAGCGACACAGAAATCAGCATCAGCTTGAGTGATACACATAGGAGGTTTGATGCGAAATACCTGCATAAACAAATTGATTACTAGCTTTAACTGTAAATCAGAATTATAAATTTGACAGTTTATAAGCTCCATCTCAATTACGTCATGTTTCTCTTAAATCCTAGCATGGTGGTTTACAAATTAGAATTTTTTATTAATAAAATATTTTCTTAAATCAGATCCTAACCTTAAAATATATTTTATATGCAGGATTTGGGAAAACAGGAATTTCTGAAGGAAGTTATGCCAAATATCTAACATTATATAGAAATATTAAAAGATCAAACTATTTAAGTATCATTGAAAAATATGTAATTCAGGAAATAAAAACTGACTTAAACTTGGGAAATTTATGAACTTTTTTGGAAATAAAAGTTTGTGTGGATAAAACCCTGATTAAAAACTAGTTTGTAACTGTAATAACCACTTGCCAGTTACACAGCTTTGTCTGGAAGTAATCAGAAGCTGTATTTTTTTTCCATAGGTTTCTAACATATTCCTGAAGTTATGAAAGTCAAGAAAAAGGTAATGGCCATATCTTTAAAGGTTGGGAGAGTGTTTAATTTATGAAAAAATATCCTTTGCTTAATCTCCTGATACCCTTACTTAAAAAGAGGCAACACTCACTTATAAATTAAGGTGATTAATATACATAGGACCTAGGAATGCAGTATATTTTCTTGTATATTAAATTACTTAATCCATTTCAAAACCTTTGTCAATAACATAGTAGTATTTAGAATGGAAATGAAGATTATTATACGATTGTTTAAACTTTTATTTACTGTGTACATTGTTACTTCAGTAAGTTTTTATCATTGTGTAAATGGCCTGAATAAAAACAAAAATCTAATGCTGTCTTCACAATATACTAAGAAACTTACATTTCCAGATTCACCTCCTTTTCCTATAATAAGACCCATTTCTTTACAATCTTCAAAAATATCATTCATATCTGATACTGGTAATGGATTTTTGGATTCCTAGGAAATGAAATTTAGATGTCTAATATATAAAAAAGTTACAGAAACATAAAATAATTCAGAATATTTTGACCAATTTAGAGATTAAATTGTTTTTTTTCTTGTTTTATATATATATATATATATATATACAGACAAGGGCATGGGAAAATCACACCACTACAAAAATACAGACAAGATATTATAATATATTTGATGTGGAAACACATTTTACTGTCTTTTCAAAGATATCATAAATTTTGAATGAGAGTGAAGGATTCTGGGGAGATAAAACTCTGCAAGAGATTTTTAATAATTTCTGTATACTGTAACAAAAGTATAATGCACATTATAACAATAGCTGTAAAAATTATTTCATTTTCTTCACATTTAAATATTCCTCACCTTACTGGTAACTAGCTCTACACCAATCATCAATCCCTTGCCTCTGACATCACCAACAATTTCAAATTCATCTCTTAATTTTGCCAGTTGGTCCAGAAGGTGCTTTCCAATTCTGTTACAGTTTTCCATGTGCTTTTCCTCATCAATGATCTAAAGACAAGATGAAGAAATAAGTTAAATGTATCTAACTTAAAAATACCAAGAAAAATATTTCTTAAGTGAAAGGACCAGGGTATATCAAATGAGGAACTATAGTAAGCAGATGGAAACATTAGCAGCACTTTTTGCCATTCTGATATTGCTACCACGAAGTTAAAACATTAAACATCTTCTTGTAAGGCTCAACATATATATATATATAAATATAGACACGTACACCAAAAACATTCCAAAATATGAAATCTAAAGGAACAAATCTTAAGTTAAGTAATCATTATTCAATATTACTTACACTTGATGTGACCATTTATAATGGTTATAATTTTTGTCTTTAAATAATACATTGTTTATAAATATGGCTTTAAAAAGTTAGCAGTACAATGAACAGTTAATACACATACTTTGAAATACCAACATGAGGAACTTACATCAAGAACAGTAGATCCAACTGCACAAGCAACTGGATTCCCACCAAAAGTGTTGAAGAAAGTTGCCTCAGAAAGAGTCTTTGAAATTTCTGGTGTTGTGACAACAGCTGCTAAAGGATATCCATTTCCTATTCCTTTAGCCATTGTTACTGTAATTAAAAAAATCCTATTTTCAAAACCCGAAACATATTTCAAGTTTGTTACAGGAATAAACATTCTTTGTTAATGTCACTGATATGGGGGAACACCTATCTATGATTCTATGCTCGTACTGAAAAAATGAAAAGCCATGATTATTTCCTAAGATAATGGATATGGAGAAACTGAACTATGATTATCTTCTAAGAATACCAGTAAATAATTTCAGAAATACCACTATGGTTATTTCTGATGCTTGCAACCAATAGCATGATTCTGTGCTGGCACTGATATCATGTATGCCACCATGAATCATACACTGATATATTTTAAATACCTATAATTATAAAATACGTATAAGACATTTATTTAGCAATAACATAATATTTTGGGACAACGTGGAACCTACTGGTCAATCTTGGCTGTTCCATCCTCTAAACCAAATTAAAAATTTTTTTTTTTAAACCTTAAAGCCAGTCCTTATCATTCATATACTTATCAACATATTTCTTAAACTCACTTAAATTTACTGCCTCTACAACACTTGAAGGCAACCCATTCCAAAGGCCAACCACCCTGTTAGAAAAATGAAACTGTTTTAGCTGAAGATGACTCCTACGTTGCTAAAATTTATATTTGTGTCCCCTATAGTCCTACTATTCTCACTGGTAAATATGAAAAAGATGATGCATCAACACTATCAATTCCCTTT